AATATATATAATCTATATATCACATATTATCTATTTATATCATAAAAACATTTTCTGAATTTGATCAGTCAGGCAATAGAATAAGTAATATGTACACAATACTTCTACTGGTCTCTCTCACTCTCTCTCTCTCTCACACACACACAGAACTATAACATAGTCACACACATTCACATGTACACAGACATATATATGGCTACAATGTGGTCATACACAGCAGTCGTACATAGTCATATGTAGCCAAATAATGTAGCCACACCAGCTATACATGGTCACATGCAGCCGTACAGGTAGTCGCATCATAGTCAACACTGTCACATGTAGCCATACTTTACATGTAGCCACAATACTGCAGGCATACTTAGTCATGTGTAGCCATATTATGTAGCCAAATTATAGTCATATATAGCCCCATACACTCATACATAGCCACATACACTCATACATAGCCAGGTAGTCATATGTAGCCACACCGCACTCATACATGGCCACATACACTCAAAGATAGCCACATACACTCATACATAGCCCCATACACTCATACATAGCCACATACACTCATACATAGCCCCATACACTCATACATAGCCACATACACTCATACATAGCCACATACACTCATACATAGCCACATACACTCATACATAGCCAGCTATAGTCATATGTAGCCAGGTAAAGCCATATGTAGCTATATGTAGCCACACTATAGTAAAACATAGCCAGATATAGTCACTTGCAGCCATATACGTGAGGCATGCTGAAACCAATGACTGACTTGTCACAGGCTGGCCCTGCGCACCTCCCATACACAGGCTCACGTCTACCATTGGTGAGAAATTGTCCAACAAGTTTAGTTCAGGAAGAAAATACCATCAGGTGAACCAAAGGTCCACATCTGAGGGAAAGGCTGACACCTCCATCGGCAGATTGCCAGACCTAGCTCTTTGTGATAGCTCATCTCATACATGTAGCCATAGTGCAGTCTCAGGTAGTCATAAAATATAGTCTCATGTAGCCAAAATACATTCACACATGGCCAAAATACAGTCACACATGGCCATAATACAGTCACACATGGCCATAATACAGTTACACATGGCCAAAATACAGTCACACATGGCCATAATACAGTCATAAATGGCCATAATACAGTCATACATGGCCATAATACATAGCCACAATAGCATTGCATGTAGCCATATATAGACACAATAGTATTGCATGTAGCCATAT